TTTTCAGCGCGATCTCTGTTCTAAACATTATAAAAGTGCATTTCATTGTTTACATTTACATTTAAAATATCGATTGTGTACATCTACATTTAAAAATAAGACACTCAGCTAAGAGTACGGTAATTTAAGTGCTTTATCTCATTAAAGAAGAGCAAAATCTCCCGACTGAAGATCTTTCTTCAGACGGGATTGAAGATTTAGAAGTGATTGAGTCTTGTCAGTTGAATTTCTTTTAACTACAGGTTACTGTCTTCTAACTTTAACTTGTAACTTAGACTACTTTAGCCTAGATTACTTTAACTTAGACTACTTTAGCCTAGATTACTTTAACTTAGATTACTTTAGCCTAGATTACTTTAACTTAGACTACTTTAGCCTAGACTACTTTAGCCTAGATTACTTTAACTTAGATTACTTTAACTTAGACTACTTTAACTTAGACTACTGTAATGAGACAAAACCCTATACTTTACAGTATGCTTAAGCTATTTTCTTGTATTTTACTATCAAACCTCTGTATTCCGTATTGTTCCCAAATCACTCCGCATCCCTCGATACCTGACGCTTGTCGATGTAACGGGAAAAGAGCACCGATCTGAAATCTTTCAGAAAATAACCTTATCTTTATAACCTTGACTTTATAACCTTGACTGCTAGAAGTCAGCCGTGCTATTGCTGTCTTTGCTGGATTTCCTGTTAACTGGATTTCTGATCTGGTTCATAAAAAATACTGTAACCAAAGCCAAGTCTACCCTACTTCAATTCAAGTCAAGCCAACTTGGCTTGGCTTTTGGCCTGATTGGATGAGCCTTGATTGGATGAGCCTTGATTGGATGAGACAAACCGATTGGTTTGTCAAGTTGGACACGATTTGAGAAAGGATCCAATGCTTTGTGGACGTCGAAACTTCGGAGGAGGATCATTGATGATAGGATCCCATATGGTATGGGGCACTATAGGCATATGGTATGGGACACTTTCAATGTGGATGACGTTCTTGATTTAGAATTTTTGACTTGTCGCATGAACTCGAACGTTTACCAGAACGCTGATGATATGGAATCAATGGAAACAATTTTATGGGTTGGAGCTAGGAATCCACGCTTGTTGGATGGCCTTTCCCTTCGTTGGATGGCCTTTCCCTAGTCATTTTCAATAACAAATCCTATTCTCATCATCTCAAAAAGCATTTCCCCAAAATCTATCCCCATAAATATGTCAACATTCTCATTCTAAAGCAAGTAATTGCCTAGTTTCTGTGAATCCTATGGGAAAAGAGTCCAAGTTGAATCTAAATCCCTTTTCTCCAAATTTTCTTCAACTTTTCTCACTGCAATCTTTTCCAAAAGCTAAGCACTTCTTTTCTTTTTCTTTTCTTCTTTCTTTCCTTTTTCTTTTCTTTTTTCTTTTCTAAGCACTTTTTTTCCCCTCCCGAACGAATCTGATTGGAATTTTTGAGTCAAACCAAAAAGCAAAAGGGAAATCTTTTCGAGAAAAGGATCGTTGAGAAGTGTGTGCAGATTTGGACACAAAAAAGAACAAGAATAGGGTATTGAGATGGATTTATTGATGTATTTGAGATGGATGTATATCTGCAACTTTCTACTGCACTCGATTCTTCATTTTCTTGATTGGGGAACTGTTTGAATAACTTCGAGCTAAGCTACGAGACCGAGCCAAGCTACGAGATCGAGCCAAGCTACGAGATCGAGCCAAGCTACGAGATCGAGCCAAGCTACGAGATCGAGCCAAGCTACGAGATCGAGCCAAGCTACGAGATCGAGCCAAGCTACGAGATCGAGCCAAGCTACGAGATCGAGCCAAGCTACGAGATCGAGCCAAGCTACGAGATCGAGCCAAGCTACGAGATCGAGCCAAGCTACGAGACCTAGTTAACCTATGGCAATTACAGCTTCCACAAATCTGTTAAAACCTAGCCAGAAAAATTGCTCATTGTCTTATATAGGATTTAATTGACTTTTTTCATAGTGTATATTAATAGATTTTTCATAAAAACCCTTAAATTAATAAAAAACATTCTAACAACATTGTTTGCAAAAAAGCAAACATTTTAAGCTTTGAGCAAGCCTTTTAAGCAACAAGATCTGAAGAAAATCTCTAGAAAAGCTTTTACAGCAAGATTTTCTTCTGGATACTCGAGAAAAGCTCAATTTACCCTTTTTTTCATTTCATTGAGGTGATTTCATCCAAAAAGCACCACAATTTTGGCTATTTTGGCTCATTTTGATCATCTCAAGCGCCAGAAATCAAACCAGAATTTAATCTATAGAAATCTATAGAATATATAGAATATATAGAACCTATAGAATCTATAGAATCTATAGAATATTACCGTACCTGAATATCCCCAGGAATATCTGCAACGAGCATCCGGGGACTTTGTTGTACGGTCGTTTTCGCCACCACATCCACCACTCTCAGCATTAACAAAGTGACATGACTGTACAACATTTGGAATAAATTTAAGAAAGGCCCGAAGGCCTTTCAAGGAGAAAAATCTAGAGATAAGTGAATAGAATGAAGTGTTTTGAACGCGTGAAATGAATAGCCGAATATCGATTAGGGAACAGATGTAGATCAACCACAAAAACCACTCCGCCTCCAGGGTTGACAACTGAAAATAGAATATTAAATATAGAATATTCTAAAATAGAATAGGATAAAATTAAAGATTAAATGCTGAAAACATTGAAAATTAATTAAAAAACATTAAAAATTAAAGGTTTAAGAAGTGAAATTGAAATTGAAACAGTTAAAGATCAAATTGAACATTGGATTTGAATGATTTCAAGGCGATCAGAGGTTTGGTCATTGATTCGTTGATGCAGAAGAAATTTCGTCTTTTATAAACATTAAATTAAATCAAAATTCTTTAGCTAACAATTTATTCCGAAAAAATAAGCATCATCGTTAGCTATAACATCTTTTCAATGTTGCTTTCCTTATCGAAGAACACTTGAATCGATTCCCTTATCGAAGAACTCTTGAATCGATTCCCTTATCGAAGAACTCTTAAATCGATTCCCTTATCGAAGAACTCTTAAATCGATTCCCTTATCGAAGAACTCGAGCTGAAGAGGTAATAAATCGATCTGAAGATCTGAAGAGGTGAAAATAAGCCTGGACTATATGGTGCATGCGATCAGACATTCCATCCTGATTCCTCTAGCTCCATACAAGAAGCTTTCGCTCTGTGTGCTGACGCGTTGTCACGGAGAAAATTGACAGTCAAGAGATTTTGACGCAATTAACCTTTTGAAGCAAAATTTGGTCAACCTTCTTGAGCTGTTGAATAAATAAAGGCGAATCAACTGTTTTTTCGAGCTTTAGCAATTCGAAATAAACAAGCCCATTATTCCACCAGCAAGACAACATCACTTTGTGTCCATGATTGGATTATCGAGTTGAAATTGGCATTGATCTTTGCTGAGCCATTATCTTTTTCGAGAAGTGTTATCGAAGTGAATCCATCTCTCGTCCATCGTCAAGATATTCTCAAAAAAAATGGCTTCTTTTCGACTTGAGAAGCAAGGTTGATCGAACTATGGCTGATCGAACTATGGTTGATCAAACTATGGTTGATCAAACTATGGCTGATCAAACTATGGCTGATCGAACTATGGTTGATCGAACTATGGCTCATCGAAACGCGTGCTCCAAGATTCTCCGTGCTCAATTCATGTGCAACTCATCGTCCATTACGATTGGTTTTTCCGATTATTTCCAAATGGCGGACAATTGTTGATTGATCACATTGGAGATGTTTGGCAAGCTTCGTGTTTGGCATCGTGTTGTTTATCGGCTTCAAGCTTTATTGCAAGGATCGGCTTCAAGCTTCAATAAGTTGTTCCAATTCACTGTTATCAATCGTTGCCAAGCGACGCTCATTTTCGTGCTCAACTTCCCAAACAATAAGCACCATCGTTCTCTATAAAATCCCTCCAACGTTGCTTCAGATTGCGGATCCCCTTCTCGAAGAACTCTTGATTCTGTCATTGAAAGTAGTCGTTCACCCAAATCCCCATGTGGTTCGTCTTCAAGCGATTCAATGCCTTCTCGGAATCGGGCAAACCAAGGATCTTTTGGTCATAACTTGTTCTCCAAAAGTGGAACAGAGATCACGATGTGATTCAGCAACGTTTTTGCCCATCTTGAAATCGTAGAGAAGACACACGCGCACAACACACGACCAACGATGATCTAAAGCAAATATTAATTAAAAATTGAAAGCTCTGGCTTAGAAAAAGAAGAAAAAACGAAAATAAATACCCAAGAGTGCAAATATACAAAAGAAAATCAAATAAGCTTTCAAAAAAATTGAACATTTTATATCGAACGAAATTTCTTTTGCATCCGCCTAGTTCAGAAAGTTTTTCTCTCGATTTTCTCAGGATTCGTTTATTCAATCACCCTTCTTTTTCCATCATTTGAAAGCCTGGAGTTTCGTCATTAAAACTATATTAAAAGTTATCAATAATATTATCTCTAGACAAAGTTATGGTCATTCAAAGTGTGAAAACTTGGATAACTGAAAGGAGCCAAGAAATTTAAGAGAACAAAGTCGAAATTTAATGAAATTGGATGACATTTAATGAAATTGGATAACATTTAATGAAATTTTGATGAAATTTAATGAAATCTGATAAAATTTAATGAAGTTCGATAAAATTTAATGAAAATTGATGAAATATGATAAAATTTAATGAAATCTGATAAAATTTGATGAAAATTTGATGAAATTTGATGAAAATTTAATGAAATTTAATGAAATCTGATAAAATTTAATGAAATCTGATAAAATCTGATGAAATTTGGGGGTGGGACAAAGGTGCACCTTTTTTTTGCGCACCCGACCAAAAGCGCACCTTTTTTTTCGCTGGAAAAGGCCGTAGAGCTTTAAAAATGTTTCCAGATAGGGGAATCATATGCGTAGATTGAGAATTTCGACAAATTAGAACTCGCTGACACGTCAAATTTGGGCTAAGAGGCAAAAACTGCCGAAAAGCGTTAAGTTGCGTAGTTTTTGCCTCTTAGCCCAAATTTGACGTGTCAGCGAGTTCTAATTTGTCGAAATTCTGAATCTACGCATATGATTCCCCTATTTGTAAAGATTTTTAAAGCTATACGGCCTTTTCCAGCGAAAAAAAAGGTGCGCTTTTGGTCGGGTGCGCAAAAAAAAGGTGCACCTTTGTCCCAACCCCAAATTTTGATAAAATTAAATGAAGTCTGATAGAATTTAATGAAATTTGATGAAATTTAATGAAATTTGATGAAATTTGATGAAATTTTGATGAAATTTAATGAAATTTAATGAAATTCGATAACATTTAATGAAATCTGATAAAATTTAATGAAATTTAATAAAATTTGAAATTTTTAAGACAAATGGATCTATTTTAAACTAAATTTTCAAAACTTTTATGTTTCTGGGTAAACTTGAGACAAGAAAACATGGAAAGAACATTTTTTTTGAGTGCTGATAAGTTTTGAGGTGAAATTTGAGCCTCAACTCATCCGTGATCGCACAAAAAGGACAAAGTAAATGGCATTAAATGAAACAATAAGCAAAGGAGAAATTTGCTTATTGTTTCATTGCTTGCAATTGCTCAAGAAAATTACTCACTTTTTGCTAAAACTAACTTTTTTTCTCGATAAACAACGTGATGAAACAATTTTTTTTAGCAAAAAGAGCAGCTGATCGAAAAATCTTTTAGAAATCTTGGATTTCTTTTTTAATTGGAACCGTATTGGAACCGTATTAGATCCAAAAAAGAACCGTATGGGAACCGTATTAGATCCAAAAAAGAATCGTATTGGAACCGTATTGGAACCGTATTGGAACCGTATTAGAATCGAAACGTATTGGAACCGTATTGGTATTGGAACCGTATTGGTATTGGAACCGTATTGGTATTGGAACCGTATTAGATCCAAAAAAGAACCGTATTGGACCCGTATTGGATTTGATGAGGATTTTTATTTTTACTATTTTTATTACAAAGAATTGAGCTCAAATTGCGTGCACAATTCGAAATTAAGAAATTTCTCTTTAAGAAATAGGTAAAGAACTAAATTCGAAAGAAAAGAAAGCACAAATTTGAGGTTTATCTGAAGAGTTTTCAATATCAGATAATTTCAAGAGGAAAATTTGTGAATATTTCAGAAATCTTAGAAGAAATAGGAAAAAAATGAATCTTCTCGTCTGCTTTCTCTATCTTTTTTTCGTTCAGCTTTTCAAGACGAGTTCTGATTCGATTTTGTCCCATCCTTTCCCCCTTTTCTCCTTTTTTCCTTTTCACACTTTTCTTTTTTTGCAACCCATTTCGTTTTTCTCTCTATTTTTGCAGATACTTGGCAGAAATAAGAAAAATGCTCGAAAGAGTTGGAGTAAAAATTGCCCGAAATAGGTTGCCAACATTTGGATGAACAGGATGAACAGGATGAACAGTTAGGAACAGGATGAACAGTTAGGAACAGGATGAACAGTTAGGAACAGGATGAACAGTTAGGAACAGGATGAACAGTTAGGAACAGGATGAACAGTTAGGAACAGGATGAACAGTTAGGAACAGGATGGACAGTTAGGAACAGGATGGACAGTTAGGAACAGGATTAACAATTAGGATCAGGACCAGAACAGGTTAAAGCTCACAAATCAGTGAGGCTAATGAACTAGGATCATTAACTTCTTGGATTTCCCAAAGTCCTGTTTTCCTAACGTCCTGTTTTCCTAAAGTCCTGTTTTCCCAAGGTCCTGTTCTCCCAAAGAAGATCATTAATCCAACTCTGACTTCTTTTGAAGCGAATCTCTGCATCAGCAAATCTTCTCGCCACTTGAACGCCAACTTGAACGCTACTTGAACAATCGATTAATGAAATAAAGGATAAACTCGGTAATCGACTGCAGGAAATTTTGAGTCAATCGCCAAAATCTTCATTGGTCTAGGTCTAAGGCTGGTCTAGGTTTGAGCAGGTTAAGCTGGATGATCGAAGCGTCTAACAGGACGCCAGCAAGAAGTCCATTCACGTTGATGCCGAAGAAACTTCGAGTGAGCCCGATGAACCTCTTGTGAAGAACCACTTCAAAGCCAAGCTTCGATTACTTTACGGGGATTGGATGCTGAATGGACCGAAACCAATGATACGGAATCGTCACTCGTTCAAGAATTGTACGATTACTACGGCTACTGATGGCTCGAAAGATGATTTCATTCACTGTTTCAAAAATGAAGGACCGATTCCTGAAGGAGCAAATCTTCTCACCGACGCGCGACTTAAACAATCGATTAATGAAATAAAGGATAAACTCGGTAATCGACTGCAGGAAATTTTGAGTGAATCGTCAAAATCTTCATCTAAGGTTTGATCTAGGTTTGGTCTAGGCCAGGTTAAGCTGGGCCAGATCCAGTAGTCCAGTAGCCAATGGCAGAGCAAGCTAAGGTCAGAGCAAG